GGCGTCGCCATCGTCGCATACTCTCCTCTTGGACGCGGGGTCCTCAGCGGTCTTTATGTACGCATCCCTATCGCCGCCTTTACCGGCGTATGGTTGACCAGATTGTTCATTTAGCGGTCCCCAGACGACCTCGAACCGGATGATTTTCGACGCCGGATTCCGCGGTGCGCTTCATATCCCCAGACTCGTCCTTTTCAAACTGACATGGACGCAGATATAACGAGACCAACTTCCCAAATATTCTGAAAATAGCGGACGGTTTGGCCGATATCGGGAAGAAATACAATGCGTCGTCGAGCCAGGTCGCTTTGGCCTGGCTCCTGGCGCAGGGCTCGGACATCATACCGATCCCTGGGACGAAGAAGATCAAGGTTCGTAACCATTCGTCTATCTAGAAGCCTACTAATGTGTGCGGATGATATTCAGTATCTCGAGGACAACCTCGCGGCAGTCAAAGTGACACTTTCATCGGAGGATGTCGCCGCAATCCGAAAGCTCGCGGCGGACGCAGACGCCCAACAAGGAGAGCGATACCCGCCCGGACTCGCCGATCTACTCTTTGTCGACACTCCTGCACTTTGAGATTGACCATGCAGAGCTATTGTATGAACTTGAACTTTTGGTGTCTGGTTGATCAACGTCCCAAATATTCAAAATGACCATGAATTCATTCTGTAATCGTTAAAGTTCACAGCTAGCGTAACCGTTAATCATCATCGAAATTCTCATAGTAAAAAGTATCCAAGCTGTAGCTCGCAGAGCGAGTTCAACCCTGAGTTTGCCCTAGTTGTCAGCTGTCGCCAAATTTTGTGTCTGCATTACATACTTGGTATTTGAAGAGTTGCTCCGTTAGGTCAAGAGATCCGGGATCACCTGGGCAATCGGCCGCAGCAACAGCCTCATCCCACGCTCTCACGTTTCTATAAATTACAAAGAGGCTGGATCTTGACTCCTGCTCCATTGTGCCCTTCACCACACCCAAAGGCATACCATGTCAACGCTTCCCTTCAATTCGGAGAATGAACCATCTCTCCCAATACTTCCCCCAGAACTGGAGCGGGCAATATTCGAAATTGCCGCCCACCTTAGGCCGCTTTGGATTCCGCAATTCATGTTAGTCGCACAACGCGTTAAAACCTGGTTTGTGCAATCAACTAATTCCGTTTCATTTTGTGAATTGTAAAGAGCTCCACTCACGATTCAAGTAGGGTCGAGCCGCTGCTATATCGGACGATCGCACTATCTGGCACCTGGCCCGAAATGGCTGCAGATCTCAAAGAGCAGCCTAGGTTCCAGTGTGATACGCTCCTTCCCATCATACAGTCCAACTCTTTCAGCTTCCCCGGAGATTCTGTCCGCAACCTCCTTCTAGGCTTTATTTCGTCTACGGATGCGGAAGTTGTGCTCTCCGCCTGCCGCTCCGTCGAAAATCTCTGGATCGTTATGAAGCGCCCCGGAGATCTATTTCCCCTCATCGGGGATCTGCCGTTGAAACATCTATATTGCCATGTGGAGGACCTCTTCGGGCCCGAGCGCCCCATCGATTTCACCCACCGGGTTTTTACGAACATCACACACCTCCATATTTTCGATAGTTTGAGGACGAAAGGGGGGGCAGACCAAAAAGAGCGGTGGAAGAAGCTCTGTCTCATCCCCCATCTCACGCACCTCTGTTTTAATCGCACAGGCCTTGTCATCATGGACGTGTGGCTGACTTTGCTCCGGACATGTAAATCCTTGCGTGTCCTAGTCGTGCGCGATGCCAAGTCGCACAGTATTTTGCATACCTTAATTGCAACATACGCGGAAGGGCCGGACCTGATCAACGATCCACGCTTCATGACGATGAGTTGCAAGTTTGATGTTTATGACTGGAGGATGGGGACGCTTACGGGGATGGACTACTGGTCGCAAGCGGAAGCGTTCGTTGCGAAGCGAAGATCAGGGGAAGTAGCTGGTGCGTACGGTCATTTTGATTCGCCCGTAGAGGCATCGTTGCTAACTATTTCTCTTTTCGTAGCCCGTGAGTATATGTTTGAAGCGGACGAGAGTAGCAATATCGAGCATATGTTGTGATGGTCAAATCAATTCGCCGTGAAACCAAGATAATCCCGTTCCTTCTAAAGATTTGCAAGACTTGTGCGTTAAATTGTGCGAACAACAAGAGTTCCCCGGACTGAAGAACCCGAATACGGAGTTTTCCTTCCTCTGAAACATGACCACCTCGCAAGGATACAATTGCTTCCTCCCTGGCGCCGTGTGTGTCAGTGACGGCTTTAAGCTTGGTTTTTCCGGTGAAGCAGCATTTCTCTGGGATGCCTAGGCTACCCTGATGCGGCAGTGCGTCAGATCTCTAAGCGGAAAGAAATTGAACCTACAGTGTGTACAAGGTTGGCTGCTCGAGCGAGTTTCTCCCCGTCCGACCTTGAGTTTATTTGTTATTTTGCTGTGTTCGTTGGATTAGACCGAATTTTAGCGAAATATTGCAGTCTGAATTTGGTCTGAGTTCTCTAGGCCAAAAGAATTGAACGGTGGCAGTCTGAGCTGAAGTCTACCGAACACCAATTTCCTCCCACTCCGAACTATGGTTGAAAAATTGGCTTGCCAAACTTTGTCCCGAATGACTGCCGAAAGCGGCCATCAAAACCTGGTCCGTGCGCATCCCGAAGCTATAAAAGGCGTGTGGCGGTGTTATTTTTTTCTTTGATTCTTCCACAATCAAAAAGCCCATGACGATAACCTGGGCGCAGAGATCTGAGCACGACCCGCCTTCGGGCTGTGGTCGGCGCTGACTTCGTCCGTTCGGCGCCACTCCTTGTTACATTATAGGGACGGGCAGAACAAATCTGATGGCTTTTCTATGGGAGATGTAGCTTGATGGATGGAGCTTGGAATTTATTTCGCTGTAACCTCTTGTATGTCGTCGACCTTGCTCTTTCGTTGGTCTGTTGCACAATTTGTCCCTGAGACCGTTGTGCTGACGATGCTGAGCACCGAACGAGGCACTGCAGAATGCTTGCTCTTGCACTGTTCGTTGTGCATGACCTCGAAACCGTCCCCCATCCTCATCCTGCTCTGCCAATGCCATGCTGCGATGCACACTGAGTAGCTGTTCGTCTCGGATGTGAGGCATGTCCCTGGCGCCGTACCTGACTTCAAGCACATGTCACGCGTCTTTGAGTTGGGAGGGCTTCTCTGTCGTTGCCCAGTCTGGTTTGACTCGTCGCGCCACACACGAGTAGATCATCTGTGAGGCGAATTGACCGGACGGGGGCCAGAGGCAGCTCCACACTCAGGTACAGCGAGGGACGAAATCATTGGGCACGGCGTGCACGTTCTTTGACTGGAAGGAATAGTTGTACTCACCGTTCGAGGTTCGACTTCCTGGTCCGGATACCTTCGATAATATCTTGGTTTTATTTCTCGACTCTTTCTTCCCATCCTAACCTCCGTTCTTTCTCATTTTGCTTTTCGTCTTGCAGCATGGAATTGTGGTGATTATATCCGGGGCTACTCATCAAGCCTTCTACGAGGACATTAATTCGGTTGTCGTGTAAAGCACCGCCAGATTCTCTACGGGCTTGAATGGAGGAGTTCCGGAAGATCGAGGTTCGACTCATCCCAATGTTTTGGATATTCGGTTTATTTTGGCTTCCTTTCCATCTGCCTCCTTTCTCCGGAGCCATTGTACCCACTATTCTAACCGCTCGGATATCTTTTCCGGCATACATGCCAGATTGTTGGTCCTTAGTCTGGCTCAAGTAACCTTTTTCGGAGTTCCTACACTAGACTACAGAGTACAGTCCACTTTCCCTCCTACTCTGGATATCGATTCGGATTCAGGCGTCGTGCACAGCCAACGTCGGGCTTTTCAACGTGGCGACCCCGAACGCTGGGCTTTTGCAAAACTGGGGATCTCATTTGACCGCTCGCAACGGGCATGCTCGGTGTCAAATCCAATGCTCGTTCTTATGAGGGAGGAAAGTGCAGGACTTTTCCACCGTCGTCTACCTGTTTCAATATCACCTTGTCCACACCTCCAACCGCATCTTGACTGATTCTTGGGGCGTGGAGCGTGGAGTCCAGTAATTTGCAATGAATACGGCGTCGAAGCGACAAGAGAGAACGAGCTACTAGGAAGCATTGGAGTGATAACTATTCCTGGTTGAATAGTCAGCGTCCTAGGAAGGTGAAGCCTACGGACTTGTACCAGACCTCCCATTACAGTGTAGTCGTTATTCGTATAAGGATTAAGTATGTACCCTAGAAAAGAGCGCAATGTACGGCTGTTGGGAGAGAAAGTCGGAATGAGAAAGAAAAAGATGAGGCTTATACTGCAAATCCGGACGCGGGGAATCGAACCCGAAACTGCCAGCAACTGTGCAAGTGTTGTCTGATACCGCATAGAAGCCGGCAGTGTGCCGTACACCACGTCCGATTTAAATATGCCTGTGCAGAAATCCGTTATCCACCATGATTTTGAGTATGGTGACAGTGGCCTGGATTTACTACGAGCATTATCAGAACGGTTTGAAACTGTTGAGAAAAAAATGGTGCATACGGAAGCTTGGAACTTGAAGAACGCGAAGCGAGGGAAAAGAGATGAGAACGGACACAGGTACGGGAGAAAAAGGTTATTCAGAACGTGGGCATTCGGACGCGGGGAGTCGAACCCCGAATTGCTAGCAACTTTTAAAGGCTTCAAGGCGACATACTGTATGGAAGCCGGCAGTGTGCCATCATGGTACACCACGTCCGATTTTAATATGCCTTTGCAGACGTCCCTTATCTACCATGATTTAGAAATGAGTATCTTAGCCTAGCGTATGATTAGCAACCGTTGGCATATAGAGAGGAAATGGTATTTACTAAATTACTCACATCAAACAAGGCGGGGAAACGAGAAAGAAATGGCGAGAAAGACATGAGAACGGACTCGGATGATGCATGAGACCGAGGACCTGTACGGGAGGGGAAAAAATAAATATATTCAGCCCTTATTCGGACGCGGGGAGTCGAACCCCGAACTGCCAGTCAACTTTTGAAGCCCTTCGGTGGGGTATACTAGCAGCCGGCGGTGTGCTATACACCACGTCCGATTTTAATATGCCTTTGTAGAGGTCCGTTATAAACCATGATTTGAACGAGGTGCGAGTATAATAGCCTACAGTATGGTAAGCCCGGTTTGGGGCAGAGGGAAACGAAATGGCATTTACTCACCCAAACGAAGGCACAGCGGGGAAAAGAGAAAGAATGAAATGAGATGAGAATGGATTCGGATGATGCGCGGGATTGAGGTCGTGTACGAAAAAAAAAGGCAACGAACCGTCTTACTCGGACGCGGGGAGTCGAACCCCGAACTGCCAGTCAACTTTTGAAGCCGTCTTTGACTCTTTGGTTGTGTATACTTAAGAGCCAGCGATGTGCCATACACCACATCCGATTTAAATAAGTCTTTGCAGACGTCCTTTATCCACCATGAATTGGAATGAGTATAATAGCCTACAGCATGGTAAGCACAGTTTGGGCAGATGGAAACGAAATGGTACTCACACGAAAGAAGGTACAGTGGGGAAAAGAGAGAAAAAATGATTTACGGGATTGAGAATCTGTACGAGAGGGAAAAAGACGACTACATCCGACCTTTATTCGGCCGCGAAGAGTCGAACCCCGGATGCCTGGTGTATAGAGGCTGGCGGTGTGCCGCACACCACATCCGATGTTAAATACTTATGAAGGGGTTCGTTTTCGGCCAGGATTTCGAAGAGGTGGATGCGGCCTAGTTTAGAGTTCCAAGTATGATCAGGGTCCAGGCAGTTGGGGCTGAGCTGACAGAAAGGCTACTCACGCGAACAAGGAGGGGGAAAGAAGTAGAGGAGATGACACCGGAGGGCATATGAGACCGAGGACTTGTATGAGAGAAAACGAGAATGAAGAAAAAAAAGAGAGGGTTTCGCAAATTACTATTTGAAACCGGGGACTCGAACCCTGGACTGCCACCTCGAATGATAAAGGCTGGCGAGTGTACCGTGCGCGACATCCGAGTTAATATTCCCTTGCATAGGCGGAGCTACGATAAGATGAGCAAGAGCAGGATGAGTATGGGCTGGGATAACTACCCGACAATAACGTGATACGAAGGCGTGGGCCCGGCAAACGAAAGAGGACTTGAACAAAGAAAGGGAAAGGGAAAGGGAAAGGGAAGGGAAAGGGAAAGGGAAAGGGAAAGGGAAAGGGAAAGGGAAAGGGAAAGGGAAAGGGAAAGGGAAAGGGAAAGGGAAAGGGAAGAGCCGGATGGCCCAAAAAGATTTCCTCTGGTGTCGGACTCTAATTGAACCCCATGGCCAGCCCCGAGAAGACCTTCATATTGAAGTATGGGTATGTGGCTATAATATGCTGCGCCCGATTATTTCAGTATGTTTGTCCGCACAAGAGTTGAACTCAATTTTGCAAGGAGGCGACGTAAAAGCCGAGGTTTCAGCGCTGAAGCAGTGACCTCCAAGTCAATCGAGTCAAGTTCATGGCAGGGTCAGAGACTCAAAGTTCATGCTGTCTAGTGCTGAGCAGTGAGACTGTCTCGTCGTGCGTGCGGTGGCCGCTGGCAACAAGATCGTACTTCGAATAACAGTCGAGGGGATTCGGGCGTTCAAGAAAACAGTCCAAAGGCATGAAGCAGCGAGTTAGCAGGCCAAGAAAGACATGGTCGGCTTTCAAGCGGCGTAGATTATCACCTGAAAGCAGCGCAGTGAGGTCAACTAGAGCATTGACGTCATCCCATCACGATGCTGATTGTTGTTAGCCTCCCAGCATCGACACTCACTCGAGTAACACTCTCCTCTACGTCCATACCTCGTGCGAATACCCCTAACGCTGCCTCGTTTTCCTCAAGTCCATCCAACTCGAGATCACTGGCCAACGATGCCAACTTTTCAACGAGATCATCTGTCGTGCCATCAGCCGTGCCTACGCTGGCATCGCTCTTCTTTTTCTTGGGCACCTTGAACATGCGTAGGATTGACTTTGCGACAAGGTTCACAATGTGGAGGAAGCACCACGCTCGGCTGGCTGGACTAGCAAAGTCAGACAGCTGGTTTTCAAGCTCGTTGATCATAACGTCGTTGTTGCTAGCGTTGTCGCAAGTGACGTCGAGAGTCTAAAGCATGACATGGGACCCTTGAGCGAACATTGAGGTTAGGGTAACGTACGACGTACCTTGGTGTCAATGTTGAACTCCTTCAAGATGCGTGCAAACTCAATCGCAAGATTCAACCCAGAGTGCGACTGCGAGATGCGGATAGGAACTATGTATTCATGCATTCTCCAGCGACGCACCTTGGAGAAAAAGTTTCGAGCTCGTAGAAATTAAACCAAAATTGTGCAAAGTAAAGTGGGTCGTGGGGTGGCCCGGGCAGGAGACAAGACAGGGACAAGGAGAAACCTTGGAAAGGAATAAGCCAGGAGAGTTTCCAGGGAAAAGTATGAGTCTAGGTAGGCAGTTTGCAGGGAAGGCGGGGACTACACGTCAAAGATGTGTGCGGGCTGAGCGGATGCGGTGGCAGGTAGCAGTTTGGAGAGTTCCGCAGACTGAGCGGATCTCTGGGTCGATGTCAAACGAACAGATTCCTATCAGTTCGGTACCGAAGGTTTTTTCCGCTTAACTGCTCGTCTCCCACCATGACTCGGTGAACGCAACTTTACATGGCACCACCACCACTGGTCGGCGATGCGCACGGGAACTACAGAGTGCACATCGTTGGGAACTGTGGTGAGTAGAGCCACCCTGACGGTCTCTGAGGTCCCCATGCGCAGCCATGCTCAATTCCGTATGATGGGCCAGGAGTCGGCAAGGAAAGTATTTTTGTGCGCCTTTGGACTTCATAGGCGACGTATGCTATCCATCCTCTTGTGAACGCAGAGTACGCTCGGGAAGCAGCACGCAAAGCTTCTCGGGGTGCCGTTCATCACGCTCGACGCGTTGTTTTGGAAACCTGGGTGGGAGAAGTCGACCAACGAGGAGATGCGCGCGAGGGTCGAGCGGAGGCTTGCGGAGTGCCCGAATGGCTGGGTTGTGGACGGCAACTACGGGCGCCGGATCGGCACGATTGTTGAAGACTCTTCGACGGATGTGATCTGTGCTCGTTTTCCCTTCCTTCTCTCACACAACGCCACTAACACTGTTTTGAATTATTTTTTTTTTCACGCAGGGCTCGACCCCCCGCTAGCGCTCTACCTTCCCCGAATTATTTGGCGCACCTTCCTCCGCATGCTGCGGCTGGAGGAGCCGTGCAGCCCCGGCTGTCCCGAGATGATCGCGGAGGTGTTCTTCTCGAACGAAAGCATCGTGTGGTGGTGCATCACACACCATCGGTCCGTCCGCGAACGCGAGACCGCGCGGATGGCGAAAATCGGGTTTGGGGTCGGTAGCGATGTTGAAGGACAGAAAATGCGCAGGCTCGGTGGTTGGGGCGGGGAGTTGCACGTGTGGTATGAGGAGGTTGAGCGGATGCTGAAACGTGAATAGATAATGCGTCGGAGGCTACAGCGACCTTGGCTATAAAAATTATTCCTCCAGGGTTATTACTGTCCCAGGCTTTTCCTAGTGCGTAGCACTCTGGCACCGTCAATCTCATTTTTGACGCAGCGGCCACTGATGCCCTATTCACAAGAGCCTTGCCCGCGCTGACTGCAACTGCAATCGCAAGTAATTTAAGCCGTTGTGGTTGGGTCGTTGAGGCCTTTTTGCTAGTTCGAGTTCGGAGTAAGCGTGGAAACGAGATGATAGTATCACTCACACGGAAGAACGCAAAGCCATTTGAAAAGAGAAAGAAAGAAATGAGAATGAGAGGAGAACGGACTCGAGGTCCGAGGGCCTGGCAGAAAAGAAGAAAAAATGTCTCCTGGAAGATTTTACTCGGACGCGGGAGTCGAACCCCGAGCGAACGGTCAACTTTCGAATCCACCTTTAGGAGTGCCGCAAACCACGTCCGATTTGAATACGCCGTGCAGACGTCTGTTAGTATTCATCATGATTTGGAATGAGTACAATAGCCTGGGTATGATGAGCACGGTTTGAGGCGGCAGATGGAAAGAAATGGTATTTACTCACACGAGAGAAGGCGCAGAGAGAAAAAATGGCGGCAGCGAAAGAGCCATGAGAATGGGTTCGCATGATTTACGGGATTGAGAAGCTGTACGAGAGGGAAAAAAAAGACGATGACGGCTCTATTCGGACGCGAGGAGTCGAACCCCGAGCTGCCAGCGATGCAGTTGCATTAGGTATAGAGGCTGGCCGTGTGCCGCACACCACATCCGATGTTAAATTCCTGTGAAGGGGTTCATTATCTGCCAGGATTTAGAAGGAATGTAAGCGGCCTAGAGTTACAAGTATGATTAAGGTCGTTGAGGCTAAGGACAGAAAGGCTACTCACGCGAACACGGAGGGGGAGGGAAAAGGACGTTGAGGAGACGAGATCGGATGGCATATATATGGGACCGAGGACTTGTGCGAAGAGAAACCGAGACAGAAAAAAAAGAGCAGATTTTACGAGTTATTCGAAACCGGGGATTTGAACCCTGGACTGCCGCGTCGAATGATAGAGGCTGGTGAGTGTGCCCTATACGACATCCGAATTAGTATTCCCCTGCATAGGCGGAGCTACCGGATAAGATGAGGAAGAGCAAAGATGGATATGGGCTGGGCTAACTACCCGGCGAACACATGCCAAGGCTTGGGCGTAGAGAACGAGAATGAAGTAAGGGAAAGGGAAAGGGAAAGCGCCGGATGGCCCTCTTTTTGGGCCATTAGACTCCGACTATTCTGACGTGGGGAAGCGAACCCCAAACTGCCAGCCCTACTACTTACACGAGAAGACCTTCATGTGAAAGAGCCTAGGCATACGCTACGCCCGATGATTTCAGTATATATTTACGCACAAGAATTGGACGCAATTTTACAAAGAACCGAGATCAAGGCTGAGGCTGCAGTGCTGAAGCAGTAGCTTTCAATAATAAGTATTGACTCGGAATCAAGTGAAGCCTTGAAGTTCAAGTTCATGGGAGAGCCAATAAGACCGTCTCATCGTGCGTGCCAATGCGGCGG